TGCTGCTGGAGCTTGTAATGAACAAGCTGAATAATGATAAGAAGATATCGAGACCTGCCAAAATCGTGTTGAAGTGTTATCAGCTTGGCCTACTTTATCCGAGTTGATCCTGTAACTGCTGCTGGACATGGTTCGCCCTATTGAGCTCGTACTCGGATGACGAGCGTTCGTGGGAATGACATATCATCATCCACAGCATTTTTAGGCGTATACTGACGTATTATTTGGATACTTGGTTCTGCTGAAGCTGCATACTCCCCGTTAGGTAGCTGTACGCTTGGGCAACAACTAGTACTCCGCAGCTTACGTGGTCAGGCTGTTGTGGTGTTTCAATCCTCAATTCCGGCTATATAATTAGTTTATATCCCAATGCAGAGTAGGCATGCCACCGCCCCACAAAGTCGACAAGGCCTTCTTTCCACTCGTCATTCATCGTAGTTCCTTGTCATACCTCAACAACTTCACCACGATATTCTTCGTCGATAAGAGGCTCATACATCATTGGTCGTACACGTGTTCTGTTGTCTGCATAGTCATGGTTAATTCGGACCATAACCGTTTTGTACCTTTGGCTTTTATTGGGTTGCTACCTGCAAAGATGCGTACAATACATTTGATATGACAATATTTAGATATATCATTACCACTGACGACCGATATATCATTACCATTGACAACAGAATAGATCCAATGAACGCACCCTTATTTTCCTCTTCCTCCTTTTTGTTCACTTCTACCGGTTTGCTCTCCTCTCCAGATACATCTTCATCCTTATGTCCAGTATTCTCTCCACACTTCACACCTGTTAGTATGTCACATATATATACATATTGTTATGATAAGTAGCAATAATTTAAGGTCAACTTGCACAGCTTACCCCGTTCTGGGCTCTGAATGTCGACATCGATATCTTCATCATCAGGTTTGTAATCTTCATCGCTGGAATGGTCCTTCTCTATACCCAGTGTAAGTTGAGCGTAGTGTGGTCGTGAGCTGTTAGTTGACTTGCTACACAAACGTCGCCCTTCGACATACAAACAGATCCATTTTACTATATAGCGTAGTATAGCTTCTTTCTTCTGCTATTAAAATGCGTACCGGACATGACGCCTGATGTCGCGTTTCTCGTGGGTGACTGGAGAGTCCTTGAAGCCGTCGTGAACTTCCTCCGTCCTTCTCCCGCTGCGCCACTCTGCGTGCGCTTTCGAAATGAGAGGCTATGAATGAAGCGTACTTAAAATTACTTTAACTGTAATTGCGTACTTATACAAACGAAACGAACTTACGAGTTTCTGAAAGTATGGAAACAGTAATTTTGAGCGGAAAATTTTAAATTCGTCTAAAGCAACCATAAGCTACAAAAGCAACCTTACATGTCTCACAGTTAAGGATGAATATAGTGATCTTTCCGACAGATAAATTTTATAGTTACGACCAGAGTGGATTTAATAAGCACATTAGCCAATCACCTTTCTTATTTCGCTGCTTTTAGCCAATAATATGTGTTAGGGGTAGGGGTCGAACTCCAACACTTTCCGACATATATTTGTCGGAAGTCAAGGCAGAAATATGAATATACGAATACAATAATCAAATTAAAAAAATATTTGGCAAATATTCTATCAATTCGGACATCTAGGCTGAAGCAGGAATATCCCTAATGTAGGAGTTCAATAGATGAGAGCCACTAATTACTTTTCAAAAACAGAAGAGACAGCTCAGCATGAGCCTCTCGGCCTTCGTTCCTACGAACACGCAAAAGGCGCGTTCAACTGCGATTGCAGCATTCAAGCGGATGCTGGAGGAGGAGCATGTTAGTTTGGAATTTGTCCAAGCTAGCATTCTTCTCGACACCTCTGGCAAACGCTTAGCGGCAACAATGGACCGATTTGGTTTCTATTTGGCCACTAACGAAGGTAAGAAAGGTAAACTTGCAAGGAACACTGCGTCCTCATACTATAGAAACGTAAAGCTATGGTTATTTGATGTGTATCCTCACTTGCGTGTAGTTACTGAATTGATATTGTTAAAGCAAGGAAAGACGTTAGATAAACACTGCTTAAAACGTGAAAATGGAGGGTTAACTAACAAAGCTCCTCCTTGTACTAAGGAGGATTTAAAGGCTTTAGTACGTTACGTTTACAGCAATGCACGAGTCAACGCAGACTACCAAGACGCTGCCATGGCGTGCTTAATGTGGCACTGCTTTGGTCGATCATCAGACCTCTGCTACGTCCAGAAGCAACATGTGTCGGTGTCATCTGACGGCGTGTTTTATCTGCGTTTGCTCCGCGTAAAGACTTCCGAAGAACAAGGCCTCACGCTTGTCCCCGACAAGGACGACTTCTTGACGTGTCCACTGCACTCGCTAGCAGTAGCGCTGGCAACACAAGAAGCCCCTAGTCCATCGCTACTTGGTCACTTGCCAGCGCTAACTCCACAGACAAGTGCTACGCTTGATGCCGGAGCTCCACTGCACGACTTGCTTTCCTTGACCCCCGACACACTTCACGTTGCCGTTGCCCCGCGACCTACAAGTCCTCAAGACACAGTTAGCAGAAACTCACCCGCTCCAATCCCGACGCTGGACAAAGGCGTGAAACGAGGCGAGGACAGCATGCAGAGCCACGTCAACAGGATGCTGAAGCGCGTAACCGAGCCTGCAGGGGTCAAGGCGGAGCTGAGCTCTCATTCCTTTCGGCGAGGAGGTGCTCAGCACGCTAATGGCGACGACCGACTTGCTGCTCAGTGGATCTTCGACCGTGGTGCTTGGGATATGACGAAGACAAACAAGGCCTTTGCCTATATCACCAACACTGCGAGGGAAGACAGGAAGGTGGCGCGCGTCTTGAGCGGCTGGAGTGCTGACGCTGCTCCTAAGGTGATCGACACGGCTTTGCTGGACTGCACGGCGCTCGAGCATCTTGAACGGTTACAAGAGCTGTTGTTCGCCACCTGTACAGGTCTCAAAGAGCGCAGACTAAACGTGAGTACAAAGGTTCTCAGCGTACTCACAGCTTACCTTGTCCGACACTATCCTCAGCTCAAGGCTCTTGCCCCTGGATCACCCATCGTCATGCGCGTTGAAGAGTGCCTGGTTGCTGCTGACATCCCACTTGCGGACTTGCTGAAGTGGTCTATAGCGCTGAACGAGAAAGCCGATGTACCTGCTCAAGACAAAGAAGAAATCCAAGAAGCAACGCACACGTGTCCGGCAATGAATCATCTTTTGGCTGTCATTCAAGAGTTAGTTGCATCCAATCGCGTCCTAGCAGAACGCATGACCATCGTCGAGGCTGCGCTACTCAAGTCGAAGTCCAGCTGCGTAAACAAGGCAGCAGCTGAAGAGCAACAACAAGAACAAGAATCGTCAGATCAAGAGCCAAAGCCTAAGCGAAGGAAAAAGCAAGCAACGAACCTGTCCGCCACGTGGTACGAGTGGTACACTAAGACGCCTCCTGTGTGGAGCAGTACTGACCGTCAAAAGAAGTCCGAGTCGCGCCACGTCGTCGCATTCATGAAGATCTTCTTGCCAGATGGCATCGCGTTAGACATCCAAGCGGAGGACTACAAAGACCAAGTTCTCGACGCCGGTCGCAGGGCAGAAGAAGCTGTTCTCGGGTTCCTAAAGTCGCAAGGCGTTAATGCGAAGGGAGCTGGCAGTGTTCTGCGCGCGCTACGACCATTCCACAAGTCTGGGGCGTTGGATGATCGCATAGGCGCGTACAAACGCCTCCTTGCCACCGGGAGAATAGTTGACCCTGCTCCAGGAGACACTAAAGACATACTCGCTGTGATGGGGAACGTCTAAACACTCTTGAATACAAATGCATTCACAGTTAGTACAGTTAGTTACAATACAACGCATTTCGTACAGCGAACTGCTTCTTCACCACCAACAAACCTGGTGCCCCACCTCACAATGTTGAACACACAGCACGAGCTCCTTCAACGGCAGCACGAATCATCGCCGGTCTCTCTAGCACAAACCAACGCCGTTCTAGGCAGCAACGTCAGCACGAACCAGCACCGCCCTATCTAGCAGTTTGATTCGCAAAGTTTAGTAGCAAATCACATATAGGTAAACCGGCAGTAGGGAATCGGACCCCCCGCTCGTTACCATCCGAGCGCTGCACCAGCAGTACCGGCGGGAGTTGTGCTTGTAGGCGGCATAGTATCGATGCTTGTGGGATGAGGTCTGCGAGGTGGCCGGCGAAAAATGAGGACTGAGCCGCCAACAGCTCTGTCGGCAATAGCTGGCGTCGTTTTATTGGCTGAGTAAAAAACCTGGATGAGGTTTAATATGTCGCGCTCTATCATTGGCCTATAAATAACCCTGATTTAAATGAGTGGCCAGTGCTACAGATGTCAGTAATATGGGCCGTGATGTCAGTGTAATGAAACCCACTCTATTAGAGGCCCCTCATCCTCGACTTCGGTCTCATTCATGATTTTGCTGTCTAGAGTGAACAGCGCTCTGAGCTCCATAATGCTACAAATACGTTAAAACGGGTTTTCTCGGCCTACAGGCCGCTACAGAGCATTTCCTTGCGCCTGTGATCTCCCTTTTGAAAGCTGACTGGGTTTGTTGTCGTACTTATGATAGTTAGCGTACTTAGTGTGCTCGCACTTAACTTACTTCTCTAAACCTAGCTACTTCGCTGATTTGATTGGTGGATTCAATGGATGTCCCATTTGTCGGAATCCGTCGGAAAGGGGTAGGGTGTCGGAACGGTTGCGATATGGTTGCGGTAACCACTCCGTGCTATTCACACCGATGTACGGATACACATGTGATATTTGTATTTTCTCCCTCTATCCTTGACCCTTTTTTATTTTAAACAAAATCACCGATTGGTCCATCCTACTAGATGGCTACAGAAACAAGGTACTTTATTACTCGACAAAATTTAGTCCGCGTAATCACAATTGAAGCACCGTAGATGCCTCCTGTCATTCCTCCATTTGCAATCCACTGGACAAGTTTTCAGCTACAAGCCATGCCCAGCTACCGCGAGCTTCTGTGCACCAAATTGTCCACTGATTTCCGTGAGGCAACTGAGATCGTAACGCATCCAGATCTCCCCCAGGCCAGCGCCGGCCACATTGTAGTCAAGAACAAATACCTCGGTGTGAACGCCGCTGACATCAACGTGACCAACGGCGTTTTCAACGAGAGTCCACCGCCTTTTGGCACTGGTCTGGATGCGGCCGGCACTGTAGTCGACGTCGGTCAAGGCATCACCGAAGTTAACGTGGGAGATAACGTCGTGTACGACAAGTTCGGAGCGTACGCTGAGTACGTTGAGGTGCCCATCGACTCGGTACACAAGTTGCCCGAACTCTCAGCTGCTGCGTTGCCACTGACTGTGTGTGGCATCTCGGCATCGATTGCCATTAAAGAGTGCGGCGAGCTCAAGACTAATGAGACGGTGTTCGTGACTGCAGCTGCTGGAGGGACCGGTCAGTTTGTAGTGCAACTCGCCAAGATGGCGGGAACCACATTATCGGCACTTGCAGCAACGACGAGAAACTTGGCTGTGACCGAGTGATCAACTACAACAAGGAGGATATCAACGAGGTGCTGCAGAAAGAGTATCCCGAAGGCATCGACGTCGCCTTTGAGACCATCGGTGGAGAGATGTTCAAGACCGTGTTCGACAACATGGCTGTCCGTGGCCGCATCATCGTGTTTGGCCACATTTCAGAGTACCGTGGCGACACCCCACGCTCGCCATTCACTGTCAGTGCGATGAACGAGGTGCTACTCATGAAGGCGATTACAGTGCGTGGCTTCCTGTTACGCACGTATAGCGACATCATCCCGACCCACATGGCCAACCTCTTCAAGCTCATCAAGGAGGTGAAGTTGCTTGCTGGTGTGGACCCCACCGAGTTCCTTGGACTCGTGCAGGTCGCGGATGCCATCGACCACATGTACGCACACAAGAACATTGGTAAGATCGTCGTGCAGCTTCCGTAAGCACGTTTACAGGCCATTGTGGCTTGAGTACTTGTAAAAAAACCAATGAAAAGTCCTTTTAGTTCAATTAGCTTGCCGATAACTGTATGTCTTGTCTCGAGAAGACACGAGTCGGTAACAGAGACGAAGAACAGTTGAGTACTTTCTCGCTGGATCTCCCGAGTGTAATTTTTCTTGTAGAATCATTCGCTCATTCTTCATTTTGCAGTCAAGCCCTCACAAGCCTCCACTCAGCCTTCCTCCGAGACCGTAAAGCCTTTGCTTCTTCACTTTTGATCACCTCAACATGAACGTCGTCTTCCGCTCCCTAGCTGTTCTCTTCCTTTTGTCGATGAAAGCCAGCGCCACCGTCTTCCAGCAGCGCGTGCCAGCTTCAAGCTTGACCGATCGTCGTCTCCAAAGCGAGGACAACGAGTCGGAGGCGGCCGACTTTCTCGCCCAAGTGACCACTGCGATGCTGCAGAGCGATCCTGAGCCCGAAGACCTGTCCAAGTTCGCGACGTTCATCGAAGCGCTAATGGCTCGTGCGTCTTCCCGTAGTGGGTCGCCTTTCTCGTCGAACACATCGAGCACGAATGGCCTTACCAGTGGTGAAGAAGCCGCGTTCCAGGATGTCGGCAGCGACTTTACGCCGTCTCCCGAACTGCGCTCGATGAGCGACGAGACCGATGCATCCGTTGCGCCGACGGACTCGAGTGGCGATCTTGAAGGCGAGATCGACGGTGATGCTGCCATGACCGACGGAAGGAACTCGGCTGCAAAGGAACTACACGGCGTGTCGATCATCGCGATGACCGCGTTTACTGTCATCGTGGAGGTACTGTACTGATTCAGACAACAACATCAACACCAGCAGCTCGCCCTGTGTAGATAAGACAGAGTCGTAGTCGACTATGAGCTAGCAACATTCAGCAAAAGTCCGTATTGCGAACAGGCATTCCGAAATAATCATTGTATTGCTGCTTCAATACAATAGTTTACACTTAATTATTGATTTTTACAAATTGGATGACTTTGTCCAATTAGTTATTTTGTATTTACAGCAAAGTACTTTATTTTTTCGTAAAATCTAGTTTTTTCTGCTTTGTTTTGCGTAAATACGGAGCTCGGTCTCCAGACAGAATCGAATGGCTGTTAGCAACGGTCGCTCAAAACGCGAACCTGAGGCGCTCGTCTATCATTTTTGATCTCACCATGGCTCTCGCCAACACCTTCACGACCAAGCAAGTCTGCAGCTACTTTTTTACTGCCAGCTTGGCGACTTCCAGTCGGCCACCATGAAGCTTCAAGACGACAACGTAACGCTTCTCGATGTGCGCGATATCTTTGATGCGCTCATCGAGAAGCATTCCGTTGTGAAAAAGTATCTTGCTGCCGACGCAAATATTATTAAGGACGTGGACTTCGAGCGAGCGTGCGTTGTAGCCCTGTCAGGCGCCGTGGACGAGCTGACGAACGACCAGGAGCTGATGTTGCAGCCATTTGAGACGGTACCTGCAATTACGACACCGGACACCAGGCACGGACGCCCACAGGGCTTTGCCGACAGAGTCTTGGCGACTAGAAAAAAGCGGCGCGGTGCAAAGAAGATATTTGATGGTGTGCTTTTCATCCCGCCGACGTCAAACACCGTGGAGCGTCTTTTTAGTGTGGCGAAACATACTCTTTTCCACCATCGCCAGCGTATGCTGCCTATTCACCTTGAAACCGTGTTGTTCCTGAAGATGAATCGGCGTTTCTGGGACGCAAACACTGTAGCAGCTATCGTGAACGCAAAGTAATGTGCAGTGCCAAACATCTAAGTAGTTAATTTTCCAATACACTACTATTGATGTCAATTATTTATTTCTTAAGCTGTAGTTTTTGTAGCAATAGCTTATTTTGGCATGGACCTTCAATATGATTGCAATTGTATTATCGGAATGCCTGATTGCGAATACCAATTCAATTGCATTCTCTTTAAACTGTTGACATTTTTGGGTAACAACGTGTGGTTGGCATGCGTCTCCATTGAACAGACTCTTCGAGAGGCGCCATGTGAAGATACCTCTTGGCTTATGAGGAGACGTCTATTGTCAGTATCTGATCATCTTGACGTTAGCAAAACACATGAACCAGATCATCAACATCTGCGCGTGTCTAGTTTTTCTACTAGTCCCGTCACTTGCGGTCATTCCTCCTGCTGTCATTCCGTCAGCCATTGAGGCAGTCTACGGCAGCTTCATCAAACATAACGTCGCTGGCGACGCGGAACAAGCTGAGTCGATCCCTCTAGGTGGCTTGGCCATCCTTGTCATCGACCAGCAAGTGAGTTTCTATCCTGGAGGCTCACTCGCCATCCCAACCGCCAACGAAGACGCAGCTCGGATCGCAGCGTTCATCTCGAACCACACGTCCGAGCTGTCCCAAATTGTGTTGACTATGGACTCGCATCAGAGATACCACATCGCACACGGAATCTTCTGGACAAATGACACTGGGGAATCGCCTCAGCCATTTACTATTAATACGATCACATCCAAGGATATCAAGAACAGAGTCTGGAAGCCACGTGAGTGAACGACTATGTGTTGGCAAACACTACGGCATTGGAAAAAAGTGGCAAGTTCTCGCTAACGATTTGGCCCGAACACTGTTTGATCGGATCGCCAGGACATAATATAGTCCCGAATGTGTTGGCGTCGGCTTTCGCGTGCACGAAAAGGTCCCTCAAGCCGATATCCGTTTATGGAGCACTATTCAGCACTTAAGGCTGATTATGAGCGTGAGATTTTGAAGAAAATGCTTGATTTAGTATTTTACGTATTTTACCTACATTTTGTTAGCAGCGCGAACAAAGTTGTTATTGTGGGTGAAGCACTCTCACACTGTGTGAACTGCACCGTTCGTGATCTTGTTGCTGCTTGACCTAAGAAAAGGCTTGGTGATCTGTTCATATTCACGGATTGCTCTTCCCCGGTACCAGGATTCGAAGTACCCGCCAAGGTACATGTACTGTACAACTCTGAAGCTGCTTATTACTTTGCTGACGAATATACTCGGTATTTTGCGCTGCAGCAATTTCTGCGTGACATGGCAGCTAAAGGAGTCACTTTAACGACGTCTACAAGATTTATTACGGGAAAATATGCAAGGTATCGATTTTTGCTTTCAAAATATTATTCTAGAATTGTAATGACTGTCGTGTGGTGTAGTGACTTCTAAGCTCAAATCTGCAGGAATTTGTGTCTGTCTGTCTGAGTAAGTAGCATTTTGGTGTATTCTTCTTAGACCGGTTGATTTTGGGGTATCCTTTGAGATTAAAGGTATTCGTTTCCAGAACGTAGGTGGAGTCTAATTATAAGATAAGTCTTTTCTGTGCAAATACCTCAGTGAGCCCCCCCCCCAACCGTAGGGTTTTTTGAAGCCTTCTGCAGCAATAAGATCGCGCAGCCGTCTTGGTCATCGACGCCGGCTCTGACATCTTGGCTACTGTAGCCCTATACTTCTCTTCACATTTGATACTCTCGAATTCAGCAGCAACTGTGAAGAGTGCGATTCAACATTCCAGTTTTGTTCTTTTTGGACGCAAATTCGAGTTGTAATCAGTTACATATAAGCAGCAGTTTTCATTTCTTGTAAAAAAAAAGATTACTACCGGCTGAAATATCGATCCTAGTGTACATTTCGGCTACTTCAGTAGCTCTGTTTACCAGACAAAACAGTCCTGCGGCTGGAAGAGCGACGCCGGACGGTATCGTTGCGGCCGTCGCATCACGTAGTAAGGCATGCGGATCTGCAGAGTGCCGTCCTCGACGATCTGCTGCGTGGCCTCCTCCATGTTGAGCATATTTTGCGGGAACTGCTCGGCGATTTCAAAGCGACCGAAGGTGGGTGTGCCGCTTAGACGAGACATCACAATGTCCTTCTGCGTTGGTAGACGGAAGCCAGAAATGCGAAGTACGCCATTGTGTTCGTTCCACTGCACACGAACGTTACGTGGGTCGATGTTGTTTAGACGCGCCATGAGGTAGATGCCGTCCTGTCGACGCTGTAGCTGGTAGTATGGCCGCCACACAGGCAGAGAGTTGACGTCGATGTCTTCGGTTTGAGGCCTCACAGCTGGTTGGAGACGCAGCGACTTCTTCGGAGGAGCAACTTCCTCTTCGTCTTCAAATTCATCATATGCCTCCGGCTCCATAGGCTCCATCTCCTCGTCTTCCTTAGCGTCAACTGGTCGTTCCATATCTTCTTCCTTATCCTCTTCTTCTTCAGGCTCCGGGTCACTCTCTTCTTCCTCGCTCTCTTCAAACAGACTCTTCACGTGCATATCATCGGACTCAGCGTCACTGTCTGTAGGCGTCGAAGGCGCAGGCGCGTGGCCTTCCAAGCCACTGAGTACGCGCTCTCCGAACTGTTTAAGCTTGGCACTGCGCTCTTTGAAGGCGTCGGCCTGAAGAAGCAGCTGCTGAATGACCACCACCAGTGCCTTGCGTGCGCTCTTGATGTCGGCGTCTCCGTAGCTCAGAACGCCGTCCAAGTCGATCAGGTAGCGAGTGAGGAGCTCTGCCTGCTCCTTGACGCGGTAGTCGAAAGCTCCGAGCTCCAAGCGCATCTTCTTGACGACAGCAGCGGCGTCTTGCGGCTTGAACGTCTGCAGTCGCCACTTGGTACCGCACACCAGGGCAACAATGTGTCGGTACTGCACTGGCAATCGCGTGTTGAGTTTGTGCTCCACGTCCTTGACCTTTTGCTCGATGGTCTGTAGACGGTTCTTCTCGTGGGATGTCTGGGCCTCCATTGTGTCGTGTGGGAGGCTGCGAGTATTGCTTGTCAGTTGCCAAATTGAATAGTGAGCGACGTTGAAGCAAGTCTGGAAATAGACCATCACTCTGACTTGAGACAGTCTGGGACGTTCGAGATGGAGTCGCGAACATTCGAGAGGCAAGTGACTCTAACTTTTGTACGGTACATCACAATTAATTTGATGTGGTGTACAGTGAAAGCAGATTAAGCAGTTATGGTGGAGGTGGCGTTAACGGCGACGCTCTTCTTGTTGCCATGTCTCGTCATCCTGGAGCGCTGCGTTGCTGATGGATCGCTGTTTGCGCTGCATCCGGCGCTCAATGTGCTTGCAACACTCGTTTGCCTGCCCGCGTGCGTAGTGCCCCTACAAATTGACGCTCTTTGCCTATGTCTCTGACACCGAATCATTGCATTTTATTAAAGTGCCCTACAAGCCATGTTGCAACGAAAGGAAGAGAAGAGTCACGCGAAGCGGTGCGTAAAGTTGAATTTCGTTGGATTAAGCGCAATACTGACGGGTTTGTGATGGTTCTATATCAGTGTCTGCCTGACAAAACTGCATCTCTTTCTGAACGTGTTGGCCGGAGTGTTGGTGGCTGTTGCCGGCGCTGCTGTGTATATCGCCAAGCGCGATGCGGGTGGCGAACACCTTACGACGCCGCACTCGTGGGCGGCTCTGGTTACGGGCATGCTCTTCACCCTCAACGTTTTCCAAGGTCTGCTGCTGACATTCGAGGGACCGAAGGCGAACTGGCAGTGGAAGGATGAGACCCACGTTCTAACAGGTGTATTGGTCTACATCGGCAGCGTTGTTACCATGCTATATGGGTTACAAACGAGCTCATGGGGCGTCCAGAACTTCAGTCCAGAGCGCCAATTCCAGCTTATAGTGCTCGTCATCGCAGCGCATGTAGCACTAGTCGGGAGAGCGCTCGTGCTGCAGCGTCAAAAGAACGATACGCAAATTAAAGTGGCCAAGGTCGCCTGAAGCCCATGCGAGTTAGCCGGGCTGGCGTACCGGAATCTTTAAGTGATGACATGGTGGTCGTGATTGGCGTGACATCATGCAAGGTTACAAAATAGTGTAACCAATACAAAATACTGTCAATTTAACGTAACCCCATCTTAAATCTCCCGGTGGTGCTGGTCACAATTCGTTCCGATGGTTAACAAGCTGGAACTCCTCGTGTTGGGCGGCCTACTAGGCGCACCCTGCGCTACTATCTTGTCCAAGTGCGCGGCTGCACCGGTTCTGTTTGCCGTGCACCCAGCGGGCAATGCCATCGCCTTCCTATTGTGCTTCCCATTGGGTATCTACGTGATGCTGGAGCGCAAGAGCGTGTCGGATTTCAAGACTCGGTGAGCATCTGAGGGTCTTCAATTGTTGACGACTGTAGACTTACGCTGTTGCTGTCACGGCAGAATCTTCCTGTCTAAGTTGCACATGTTCTCTCAAATGCTGGCGATGCTGCTGCTGAGTGTCGGCGGCGCGACTGCGTATATGACCAAGAATGCGAACGGCAAGGACCACTTCACGTCCACGCACTCGTGGATTGCGGGTGCCACAGCCACGCTGTCTACACTAAACATGCTGGGAGTGAGGATACGCTTATCGTGACGGACTGTATCTGCGCTAGTGCTGACTAAAGCTTACATTTAGGGCCTCGCCACCACCTTTGGGGGTAAGAAGACGAGCTGGCAGTGGAAGAATCCGGGCCACCGCATTGGAGGCACCCTCGCATTTTTAGGCGGAGGTGCGTAGTATTTGTTCTGTGTTGGTACAGGAGGTGAGTGACTAACTTTGCTACAGGTTGCAGTGTCATGCTCGGTGTTTACAGCGGAGGCTGGGGTATCTCTCGATTGGGTGAGGACTTACAGTTCAAGGTCGCCAGCTCCGTGGCTGCTGCGTACTTGCTCCTGGTTTTGAAGCTTATTTTGAGCAGTTCTGCGACGTCAACTAAGAAGAATGATTAACCAGTTTACCAATTAGGGCGGCAATCATCAAAAAGCCCATAGGTATAGACAAGAACGAGCTGCCGGTAGTCGTGAAAATGGTAGATTCGGCATCAAGTTTTAACCCTTAATGGGTTCTGTTTTTTCTTGGCGTTTAGCAATGTCATAAAATTAATTTTATACGTTGCTTTTTGACCTCACCTTATTGTGCTTTGCAGTGGAATATCAAGCCTAGAGCATGGTCAGAGCATAAAACCATGCGTAAAATGAGGCAGGCATTATCTGTGATCGAATTACCACCAAAAAGGGTCGATTTACAGAATATTGATGTGGATTTGGTGAGCGGTCGATTTGACTGCCATAGCTCGATTTGGCAGCCAGTCTATAATAGCTAGATCGATTTGTTCTTTTTATAGACCTCCCTTTTTTAAAAGAGAGTGTGTCCTGCGCCCAACTCGCGGGTAAAAAAGAGGCACAACTTTTTCACAGGTTTTACCCTATCCCCTGGATATATCCGTCCAAGTATATGGTGTATACCGGTCTCCCCCACCACACACTTCATTCGGAAATAAAGCGGAGGGGGGAATGAGCCGCGAACTGCGCGTGAAGGCCGTGCCGAGGCCTCCCCTGCCGACGCAACGCCGCAATCTGTGCTTGGGGGCCGCCGACGATGCCACCACGTATGCTTCGTCGCCGTGCGTACTCAGCCATGAGGAATGGGTGGATTCCGCCTCTAAAACCTTGCAGCGACGCGAGCAGCCAGTCCAAGCAGGGGCGATCCGGACGGATGGTCCATCCACGGCGCGTTCAAGTCGAGCCTGAAGATGGCCAAGGGCTCGAAGTTCTTGTGCCCCCGTTGGAGCGACTTGAGTTCCAGTCGTGGGAGGATCTCGAAGGTTACTTGGCCGACTACACTAGGTGAACGTACCAGGTATTATCTTGCTTTGTTTCGGATTACATATTATTCCTATGCTAACCGCGAGCGTACTGTTATGTTGACTTCTTCGTAGAGCTTCCGTATTCGCACGAAGAACACAGTGGTAGCACGTAATGCCAAGATTCGTTCGTCGGGGTCGAAGAAGCCGTTGCTACCGGATGAGTGGAAGAACTACGGCAAGACGTACATATGCACGCACTCGGGGACGTACAAGTCGCGAGGAAAGGGAAAGAGGAAGCGTCTACAGTCGCGAGCTATGGAGTGCGAAGCCCAGGTAAGATTACTGCTCAGTTGAGACGAGTTTGTCATCTAGTTGGGCCAAGTTGGTCATCCAGTTGGGCCGAGTTTGTCATCCAGCTGAGCACGCGGATCTTTGGGCTGTGCTGGGATGAGTTGAAGCTTACTGATGTTGTGCTTGCATGTGCCCATATTGCAGATCAATGCGTGTGTCCAAGTTGACGATGCTAAGGTTCCGACCTTCATTTTGAGAATCACCTTGGCGCGTTTAGTGCACAATCACCCCGTAAACAAGCACATCTACAGTCAATATCCGCACGTACGAACTGAATTGGAGTCAAATGTGGTGACTACGGTGAACGAGCTTCGGAAATCCGGCGCGAAGAAGAAGCGTATACTTAAATTTATCCACGACAAGTCGGAGCGCAAAGATGTGTCCAACTTAGTGCGGAGGTTGAAGAAACAGGAAAACACGGGTTCCACCAGCGCCAAACGACTGAAGAAGTGGATGGTCGAGTTTTTGGAAGAGCCTGGAAATGTTGGAGGAATATTTGTGGACCCAGGGATGAGGTTGACATGGGCGGCATCGAGGGCGAATTGGCCACCGATTGTTCGGTAGTGGAAAGCTCAACTTCGGATGGTTCTCAGCCGGCTACGGAGTTGGGCTCTCAGACAAGTGAGTTGGGCTCTGGTAATGACCAGTTGGGCTCTCAGACATGTGAGTTGGGCTCACAAACAGTCGCGTCGAGCTCTGATACAGGCCAGTTGGGTTCATAAAGCGCTGACTTGGCCACGAGCAACGCGCCGGGCTTCAACGTCGGTCAATCGGATACAACTATCACGCACACGGCAGATCGGGGGAGATCAATCCATTTGGCTGATGAAAATGATGAATTCGATCTTCAAAGCCCACCAAAAGCAAAAGGTCGACCGAAACAAAAACCCAAAGCCGTCAAGGCGAAGCGAAACCTCACTATCTCAATGGTCCAGGATGATTTGGCTATGCACAAAAGCCAGCTAAGCCTTTTGACGGCTCATACACTTTTGGCAGATACCCCAACCTTCAACAACTCACACGACAAGTTGCCGCAGCTCCAGCTCTTCAGGTTCCATACCAGGCCCAAACCATCAATCGCGCACGAGATCTCAAAGCTACCCGCAACAAAACCACTACGGCGTCCCGAAGAGATCGCCAGAACCTTTCCGATCGAACTGATAAAAAGGTGCATGGCTAAGGTTTCGGCATACCAGCTAAAACACCGAGCCGTACTAGAATTGAACATTGCACTGGAGATTGTCGGTCTAGGTGTGGTTGCTAACTCAGCTGTAGCACTCATGAAAGGTGGCACAAAGCTCATGATGGCTTAAGGAAAATTGAAAAGACGCTCGATTGGATAAAGCAGCTCGACTTCTCGCGACCTAGTACTCCCGGGTTTTTGGTTGTTGAAGATCCAGAACTACCGGAAAAACTGAAGAACATCCATCTATTTTCACCACAGGTACGGACTACTTGCACGAATATTTGTAATCAAATTGAGCTCATCCGAGTGTGTATTTACTGGACAGGCGAACGTACTGGATTTGGCGGCAAAGGAGTGCCTAACGGACGATATAATGCACATGGTACTGACCAAGAAGTTCGGACAGGATCCCAACGTAGTTGTTTTTGAGGCGTCAATGCTAGGTGCTGTCGTCGATGGGCACATGGGGGGGACAAAGAGAGTATTCGGAGGAAAATTGAGGGACTATCGAATCAAAAGGTGCTTTTCCCCGTGAACTGCAATGGTAATCACTGGTGCTCCGTGATGATATACCTCGAAAAGGGAAAGGTGGCCATATACGATTCCAGTTCGTCTACGTACTTAGTGAGCGTTCGCTCCGTGGCTCAGGTGCTGATATCTCTGCTACCAAACGGCGTGAGCCCGAGCCAACGAGTACAGACGTACGAGTCGGGGTTGGGCGCTCAAGCAGATAGGACGATTTGTTTGATGAGGCGGACGCTGTCTTGAGCCTTCTAAACTCCGCGCGTAAAGCGTTCGAATCCACTTCGTGTAGTCTTCCAAGGCGTTCTCTACGCGCTCGAGCTCCTCCATTTTCGAGCGATTAAAACCTTGCCCTTGGAGAACATTTCCCACTAGTCCTCCCGCTCCCGATGGATAGCTACAACTGCGGCATTTACGCTCTACTCGCTTTCGAGATGTTCTTCGGCGCCGAGTCTCTTGGCTACATTGGCAAGAAGACACTGCAGTGTCTGCGCTACCGCTACCTTCGTATGTGTATGGAAGGCTAAAGAGTGTTAGTCTCTACACCTAATACATAAGTTCACGTAGATTTCTATCCATGTTATCATACAGCTCTTCCTCCACCATTAATATGGTACGTTGCATTGTGCACTAAGCCCAAGAGCTTCCAAAGTCTTGCTCCACACAATGCAAACACTAAAAGTGCTGTCCAGCATCCTCGAAAAGTACGACTTCATTATATCCGGGTATACGCCTCGGACGTATACTTGCTGAAGTGGCTGGGCACCCGTTTGGGTGCCATATAGGCACCTGATGGGTACCGCTGGGCGCGAGATGGTCGTGAGTGGGTGCAGGAGGCTCGTCACATATTTCCGAGTTGGGCGCAGGAACGGGTGCCTTTTTAAAACGACCTATATTTAATTTAAATCGAGCATCAGGCTAAGTGAAAAGGAAAAAAAGCATTGAAATACACAAAACATGTAGAGCACATTTATCTTAAAGGTCTGTTTTATAGCTTTACTATAGCAGAAAATCGCCTCTGAACAACACTCAATTCGATTTTGTACGGTAATCGAAGAGCCTTTTAATCGAAGGGGGCGTTGTATTCGGTATTATACTGTACGTATAGAATATGAGTTTTTCCTGTGAACGTCGTCGTTTTATAATTGAAAATCAAACAGCATTTTTCGGCTCGAGGGACACGAACTTCAGTCCGTTCCGCCGACATGGCGGTGCCGCAGAGTCCCAACCTCATGCTGTTCGACGACGAGCCAGCTATCGTCGTCCCCGCTGGACCAGCGTCAGCATCCTCCGCTGACAGCGTCGAGTCGTTCCCCCTGACTGCACCAATCTCCCCAGTGGAGATCGGCTCTCCAAGCGACGCCGAGCAGGATCGCAAGGTGCTCCATTTCTTCGTCTCCTGTCGTGGCGTGGATGGCAACTCGCTCGTGTCTCCCGCACGTTCAGCGCAGACACTTGTACGTGGCGCGTTCAACATGCTGAGCAACGCCACAGCCATAAACAACACCAAGTCTCCACGTGCCAAACCGCCGACCGAAGTCAACGTTGAGGTGCGTATCGCACGGGAGACGCCGATCTTCGGCTTTGGTGCAGACATTCCAGCACAGCAAACTGTTATCCCTCCGACGGCTCCCAGCAGCGGCGGCCTGACAGTCGAGATGGACACTTTCGACGAATTGGGGACAGAATTCTCGGACAAAGCGACGCTCTCCACAGACGGACTTCTAGAGAGCGAGAGTTCGTGGAGTGAACGACTCAAAAGTCGCAGCCCCAAGTTCTCTGTCGGCTTCAGTGTCCGCTGTAAGAACCCGGCCGAGTACGACCGACACGTGCAGATCATGGTGATGATCCCGGACGAAGGCACGTCCTCGAACAAGAACAGCCACGTGTTCGGATACGCCTTAACGTCCTTCCAGGAGATGTACACAGTGGCCACTAGTGGCAATTATAAGCAGAAGATGACGTTGCCCGTGCACTCGACTGTGCTCGACGGAGCGACAGTGGAGCTGCAGTTCGCCGACATTCAGTCGCAGCAGCATCCGCTGTTCAAGGCGCAGCATAATTTGTTTAAGAGTTTTCTGTTCTATCCGTTGATGAAGGAGGAACACGCAGAGATGCAGGCGGCGAACGCCAAGCTGGCGGTCGAAGAGGCCGCCGAAGTGGATTGTAGCGTCAAGATCCCGCTGCAATTACTGCGCGTGTGTCAATACGAGCTACTGCAGATGTACGACGAGTGGAAGGCACGCTACGACTACGCACGCAAGAAGAACTGCTACTTTGACAACGACGCAGAGGCGCTTAACTTTGGACACGACGTTTTTCGCGTCCAGGTGGTTTGTGGACGCGAGTTGAGGGCGAAATCTAGAGAAAATACAAGTGCGGAGAGCGAACTGACGACCGAGATGGACGTACGAACCTCTCGAACGTCTGGCTTCTCGATGGGTAGCATGGTGGGCGGTCGAGGAGGGTTCGTGAACCGGATAAAGGCTGGGAAATGGGGCGGTAGTAGTGTTTCCTCGTCGTCGTTTAGCAGTAACGACCCGGACGCAGTCGACACGGTAGCGGAAGCGAGTAACAGTGTCCATCCGTTCGTTGTGGTCAAGTTTGAAGACGGCGTGGCCGGAAATCGTGAGTTTATTGTGGGGAAAACCAACACGGAGTACGATTCGACGAACCCTGTGTGGTCTACGAACAAGAATGCAGGCACGAAATGTCCTCACGGGAAGCCCAGTACGAAATACCACGCGTCGCGAGTGCTAAAGAGCCGTGTGGTTGTGTCGCCTGTCAACGCTCTGAAGCAGTTTGTATTCTATCGACCCAGTCTGTCTGATCAGCCTCTGGCTGGGTGGCTGCGTTTCCAAGTCTTCAATGAACATTATGGCTACATGAGTGGCATCGAGAACGACTTGATTGGCGAAGTGATGATCCCGTTACAGAGTGCTCGCGATGCAATGACGGTAGAAGAAAAGACGGTGTTTGACGACGACGACGGCGCTGAAGGCAGCGGCGACGGAGACCACGAATCGAAGTCACATCAAGTCGTGACTTCCCTCACGCTCGTGGACTGGTTTGATGTCCGTTCTCTCTCCACCGATGAAGTTCTGGGCCAGATTCAACTGCGAATTAATATTCTGCTGGCGAATCCTCTTAGCGATGACCTCCTCACGGGTCACGGAGTGGAGTCTTGTCGGTCTAGACGACACAGACGAGCTGCTGACTGCTCGCCGCCTCCGAGTGACGGGGTTATTGAACGCGAGATCCCTCTGAACTTTCTGTATCCACATGTGTTACATATTCGCAAACAAGTTACCGAAGTTACCGAAATGATCCGACTGACGGAACATTTGGTAGAAGACAAGAAAACATTCAAGTCGAGTCTACACAAGAAGCGCGCAGACATTCAAGCGATCCCGACGAATCTGCACGTGTCGTACTTCCGTATTTTCCGTCACTTTGGGTCTAAATCTGTGGCGCATGCTTCGACGTCGACGGAGGATTTACTGGGCCTGGATGACAGCGACGCGCACTTTGGCGCGTCCGCTGCGCTTCAGTCGTTGTCGATGCAAGAGCGTGCGATGATCCCGGAGACCCACGCGACCGTAACTTGTGGCGCGCCGACGGCACACGCGATGGGACTGAGCGACTGCGGTCTGCGCGAGATGGAGCTGGTGATGCAGAACTTCGAGACTGCGTTGGAGAAGAGTACGTGTACACCTCGAGTCATGGCGAGTCCTGTTAGTGAGAGCAACTGTTTCATCCCGGAAGATTCCTCCGACTTCCTGTACCCGCCACTGGACGACGAGAACGAAGCAGAAGCTGAGGACGACGCAGATACAACAAGCTCTACTGCAGCCGTGGTGGAGTCTGCGCCGAAGAAGAAGACCTCCAAGTACTCCATGATGGCTCGCAGGGCTTCCGCCGCGCGAGCGAAGGCGCTGTCAGCGAATCGATTCGTCAAGAAGAAGAGCTCTCGGCAGTTGGACCAAAGGAGCAGCGACGAGAAGAACGCCGTGTATGCCAAATACCCCTCGCTTCGTGTCGAGTCGGAAGAAGGCGTGGAGGCTTCGACGTCCATCGGCTATGCGGTTCGGACGCTGTGTCGTCTGGAGATGCTGCGCACGGAGTATTATCTACGGAAGAGTGTGGCGGTGTCTCAGTCTGTGAGCAGTCTAGTCACGTGCTTCATGGCGGAGCTGGACTTGTGTCTACAGGAGCGCAATGACAAGGTGCTGAATCAAATGGCCAAGGTCGGCTTCTTGATCGGGTGGGAGAGTCTCATCTCGTCCCATGGGAAGGAGCTTTACATGATTTCCGACGCGTGGGTGGCCATCAAGTGTCTCGAGACCTTCTCGTTCAAGCTCTGCGAAGGCACCGACCTGGACGTGCTGGTGGAGAAGCAAGACGTGGGTTATATCGTTAAAATCCCGGTCTCTCCCGCTCTCTTCGCCCTTCTTCCAGAGAGCTTGAAGAGCGGCGAGCTGATCAGCGTCACGTCCGTGCTATTCACGCAAGGAATCAACGAGATGCAGAGCTTGGCCAACATGGTGGGCCACTCCGGGGTCTCTATCCAGCGTAAGATAAACAGCACGAGTTTCCGAACCATCTCGGAGTATTACAGCCGCTTCACTGAGCTCTGCGGCGTCGGCATGTCGGAGGTGAGTGTGGGCTCGCATCCCGACGAGATCTTGCGTAATTTACGCGTCAGTGTGGAGAGCGAGAACTCGGCGTCCAAGAACACGTGTATTTTACTGCATGCGGCCGACGCGGTGCGTAGTTTAAATGGAGGCCGAGTCACGTACTGCAAGTCGGGCAAAGACCGAACGGCCATGAGCACGACACTGGAACAAGCTCGACTGCTGGTGCAGCGTAAGCGACATGTGCTACAAGAGATCGAGACCGGGGGTTCTTCCGAGTTTGGGCCTCTGGAAGAGGTGAAATACGTCGCCAACATGATGCGAGAGTTCGGTGTTCGCATCCACGTGGCCAAGAAGAACGTCGGACGCTTCAAGTACTCGTTCAATTCTTTGCAGCGAAAATTACTTCCCGAAATTTATCGCCCACCCATGTCGACGATTCAAGACATGGTGACGTCGGTCACGACGCGGGATTCGTAGAGACAGAAACTGTATGGACAAAATATAACATGGGTATTAATATCTTACGCAAGTGTTTACATGATCGATGCACTTATTCATTCAAAGAGGTTATCTTACCGAAAGATGTAAGTTACCCTTTTCAAAACAACGTAATCTATTCTTCATCCTCCTCGTCGCTCTCCTCCTCCGGCGTCTCAAGCCACGTGAGCCACGTAGACGTCTGGATAATAGCCTTCATGCGTCCAGGCACATCTCCGTCCACGTCGTACTTGTACTCGAAGAAACCAGCCTCGTCAATGATGTCCAAACTGTAGAGCGCCATGAAGCACTTCTCGATCACTCCCTTGGGGAACTCGTGCTTGTTAAGGAAGATCTGCAGAGCGTACAGAGCCTCCATCTGATCCTTCTTGTCCGCAGATTCCATGCCGAATTTCAGCAGCTCGCCGTACGCAGGCAACGCGATCCAGTTTGCGCTGGACTTGGCGACATCCTCCGCTGCAGCTGTGACCGTTTCGAAGAGCACAGCGCCGCTAGGACGTCCGTTCTTCTTGAAGATTTCCTTGGCGACTTCAGCGAGTTCCTCGCCCTTCTTTCCACTGGCCAGCACCTGTTTCATGGTCTCCCGGTCGACGTCCGCCTTCTTGGCAGCAGCCTCCTCGGCCTTCTTCTTCTCCTCGGCGGCCACGCGCTTGGCCTCTTCAGCAGCCAGACGCTCCTCCTCCGCCTTCTGCTTACGCTCCTCACGTTTCTGCTGGGCACGCGCCTTCTTGTCGGACACTGCAGGCTCCGCCGGCGTCTGTTCCTGTCGGCTGCTCACGCGCATGTTGGACATGCCAGATGACAGACCTTCGTCGCCACCACGGGCGAAGCGGCCACCCGCGCGACCCTCGAAACGGTCGTCACGACCCAAGCGGTCGCCGCCACGGTCATCCCGTCCGAACCGGTCGCCACCGCGACTGCCGCCGCCGAACGCGCTCGACCACTTGTCGCCGCTGTTATTGCGCGCGTCGCCGGAGCTCGAGCCTTCGCCACGACGCGCCAGGTTCAGACGCATGTGCGACGGACGCTCCTCGGCCTGGAAGTCGTCGCGCGATGGACGGTCGTAACGCGACGGGCCGCCGAAGCGGTCGCCTCCGCCGCGCCAGTTGCCACTGTCGTCTCCGCGGCCGAATCGGTCTCCGCCACGGTCTCCTCCACGGTCTCCGAAGCCGCCGCCACGGCCACCACGGTCGCCGCGCCACTGGTCGGACTGTTCGCTGCGCGACGGCTCGCGGTCCGCGTATCGGTCGCCGCCGAAGCGGTCGCCGCCACGGCCGCCGCGGTAGTTTCCATCGTCGTCGTCAGCGCGCGCACGCGGACCCGACGGAAGCGCCGCCTCCGGGATATAAGCGGCCGCCTGGTCGCCCAGGAACTCACCAAGTCCGATCTTCTTGCCGCGTACCATGGTCTTGCTGTGTGTTGTTCGTATAGAGAGAGGAGGGTACAGCTCCTGGGGGGCCGGACGGGATATGACGTCGAAGAGGGAGAAAAGAGACAAGTGCGTGGCTGAATGGCTGGCTGGTGGAGCGGTTACGTAAGCCACACCACTTTACACAACAGAAGAATGGCTACACTTACTCGCTTCAACATAGCTAACCTATTTTGGCCCGTTAACATCACATCATGTCGAAGAAAACTGTTGCCAGTCAATTGCCACCAGTGCCGCACCACGTACGTCACCACGTTGGTATTTTATCAAGGATATCCACTTACCACTTTTCTTTAGCATGCGGGATCACAGTCTCCAACGCGGTTTCTTGGTCGTATGAGCTGGGACAAAAGCATGTTCGAAAATTCAGTTAGCCCATCGTTCCGCAAATGCAAACACATTACTCGACCCCCGGCTGTGCCGTCCACTTTGACCCCACTAGCGTCACCGATTAAACCTTCAATATTGACTTCGCAAGCGACAACTACTACGCTATCAGTCCCGTCTCCTACGCGTTTGAAGCAGTTGAAAGCAGCAAATGGATTGTGTCCGATGACAGTCGAGGAATCGTTTGATCAAGTGGAAAAGATGCTGGAGGAGCACAGGCAACAACGCAAAGAGCAGAGACCTCGTCGAGTCGAAGCGTTGACCGAGGCGTCTCCATTGCAGCGCCACACGTTCGTCTTTGCACCGCTGGATGACTCACGTATGCTGTCTGAACTCGCAGCACAAGACGCAGTGGATGCCCGAGAAGGATTAAAGAAAGGCGAGTCCGAAATGGACATGGAAGTCGGTGGCTCGAATGTGAAGCTCAAGTATTTCGGACCGGATGCACGCACCTCGTACTATTTAATGTACAAGGAGCTGCATAGCAAACCTCATCTTTTCGTCGATCGTGACACGCATGAGCACCGTCATCACAGCTCGATACGCAGTAACTCAACTGTAACTGGACGGAGACGCTCGATAGGGATGCGACGAGCTCTACCGACGTTAGAGCAAGCGCAGATTTCTCTTGGTAGCGGAGGAGACTTGAACCTGCTATCATCGGCACCCCGGTCACCACGCACGCTCTTCTTAGGTGCAAGTCTCGCAGGGGGTCAGACGGCGCCAACGCTTTTGTTACGGAAGGAACACAACCAACGAACCTTCGACCTCAGCCATCAGGGGCTGGATGACAACTTTATCATTCGCTTCGCTGCGTGTTTACCTGAACTGCCGCTAGTCGAGTGTATCAACGTGTGTGACAACCGATTAACGGACGCAGGGATCAGCTGCTTACTACGAGCGCTGGAGAACAAACCGCACTTGACTTCACTTGACATTTCGTCGAATCCCATTGGTGTCGATGCTGCGAACATCCTTCGAGGGTATAGCCGCTCCAACTTGTGTACGTTGCGAATACTGGCGTTGAATGAAGTCTCGCTGAGTGATCACGAGTGTGCGCGACTAGCGAAAGCCTTGGAACGCAACAAATCGATTGATCGGCTTTTGCTCCGTGGGAACCAGATTGGGTTACACCATGTGGGTACAGGGGTACACTCATTAGATTTTGGTGAAGATGAAGAAGAAAAAGAGAAGCCTATTACGCTCTTATCAGGGGGTCAAGCGCTCGGTACCATGCTCACAGCTAATCTTACACTACAACACTTGGATTTATCATGGAATCAACTACGCACTAGTGGTTGTGGCTTCATTGCTGCAGCTTTACCGATGAATTTTCACTTGCGAGAACTTCGACTTAAGTTACAACGCATTGGGAGACAAAGGAGCGTTGTCACTTGCTCAAGCCTTACGTAGCGGTGCACGGCTAAGAAAACTAACGATAAGTTACAACGGTATCTCCGCTCGAGGGTGTGTGGGTCTAGCCAGTGGTCTGGCTGTGAATGTATCGTTATCGATGCTCACTCTGGACGGAAATCCTCTCGGTGTTCAAGGCGGTAAAGCTCTCATGCACGCCAGTTGTGCACCACGACCAAATACGGGATCATCGTCGACTGTGTGTCAGCTATCGCTCTTGGACTGTAACTTGCATGTATCGGCTCCGAAGATGTCAGCAGCAACGGGAGACGAGCAATTGCATGTTTTTAATCCGGTAGATCCAGCAGGTAGCTACGTATTGGACCTCAGTGACGCCTACGAGCACATGGTAGCACACGAATTACTGCGACTTGCAGTAGCGAAATCTGCACGTTTCCACTTTACAAAGCTCGAGTATAACGCGTCGATGCAAAGAGGACAAGGAACAAAACTCGAAATGGTAAATCGATGCGTGAGTCCTTCTTCAGCGCCCGAGGAACTCATCGATACCACTAGCAGTGGGAAATATCTAAAACCAGTCGCATTGCTGTTCCAGCGACTTGATGAAGACGGATCGGGCTATGTGGAGTATAGTGAGCTTGGAAATGCTCTACGTAGCTGCGGTCTCGAAGTTTCTGACGCCCAACTCGCGAGGTTACTTGAAAAATATGATTATGAAACGAGAATTTGCTGATCTCTTCGCTCGTGTTGGGTTTACGTTTGTCGATTCGAATAATTCCGGTTCATTAGATACAGACGAGCTTCGACGCGCATTTCAGCTACTGGGTGTGTCGGAAGAAGCCGAAGTCGACGATGCCATTGCTCGCATGACTGCTAAGTACGATCTGGATGGTTCGGGGGAAATTGACGCTTTCGAGCTCCTGGAATTTATGACTTCCGAAATTTTTACAGTTAAGGATCCCCAGAAAGCCAACGGAAACGAGGACGCGAAAATAATGAGACTTGAACCGTGCGAAGTTGGTACTGGGGCATTCTGGCAGGTTCCGGATTCTGGTCAACTCACGGCAGACTTCGCTCACTGTGGCGGGGTAGACAGCAATACTGGAGGCAGCACAAGTGACACTCGGCCTGCAGACTCCATGGTGATGCCAGATAAAATGTTGTCGAGATTTCTTGCCAATGCGTCAAGTATAATATTACGGAGCAGACGGAATTTCTACACAGCGTGCTCGCTGAATCGGGAATGTACTTATCTGCGTCTCAAGGCGAGCAGCTACTTACTCGACAGGGGGTAGCTTCATCTACTGAGCGACCGGGTCGGAGACTGCCAGCTCTTGCGAAATTGCTGCCTCGCATTGTCGATCACCGTGAAGCGACTAACCTGGTGACGCGTATTGTGGATATCCACAACCAGTGGCTTGAGCAGCTAGCGTTGCGTCGTTGGTTGGGTACTCAACTGTACAGTGTCTTGGTAGGTTCTCTGACTAATGTTTGATCTTGCTCGTGAGGATCATCAAATCGCTCTGCAAAGATTTGCATTGGTCGCTCAAGAGGAAAAGCAGTTTAGTCGCTGGCGGTCTGGACGTGGAGATACGTCCCAAAGTGGAAATTGGGAGAACTTCAGATGGGCTACACTGGACGGCGTGTGAGCTATAAAACTTACCTGCGTGTCGAGCGCCAGTGCATTGCAGTCTGCCAGTGTCCGGTGCCCCCATCTACGAGCCACCGTCCACTGCCAGTGTCTGCAAAGACACATCCCAAGGACACTCATGCGCCTGGCAGTGCAGCTTGCGGCTGCACTACAACCGGCTACACTAAGTATGTAACGGGGTACGTAGCACTAAGTGTACCCTGGTTACATGAAGTGTGACACTTCACACTTCAGGAGTATGACATGTCATACTCCGGGATATTTGGTACAAGGTACCAAGGTCATTCAAAACCAACCATTGGTTAAATGACATTGCATTTCTATAGGTAACTGATAGTTTGTATTAACCACAAACTTAACCTACCTATAAATATACTCAGTTTACAATCTACCTTATTTAGGTCACTTCGCTCTCTTTAATTAAAGAGGGGACCTGTGAACTGCCGTTCACTGAGAGTTTGTATACTCTCGGAAGATAACTTCCTCTAGCGCAAGGTGCTGTGTGACCCCGTCACACTTGGTAGCACTTGTAGTCAATCCACGCCATCGCGGGTAGACTACCTGAACCTCCGAAGTTCGTTGCCATGGATAGGAACGACTTCTCCCATATGAACGACTCTCAGTTCGAGTCGGTTCGGAAGATGGCAGGCATCTTCGGGATGGAGGCCCTGCAGAGCCTGGTGGTATCAACACCGGCTGAGCAGCTCGAGCGCGTCAATGCATTCGACGCGTACGAGCAGGGCCTCATCGCGCATGTGCGGGAGAACCTGCAGGCTCCGGCGGCGGGAGCAAATCCCGCCTCACCCGAAGCCAATACGGCTGAAGGTAAAGCCGTATGAAGGGAAGGAAGGCGAGAACCTTCACTTCTGGGTCCGAGAAGTAGAGCTTGCGATGGACGCGGCTCTGATCTCGACCGAGCAACTGCGTGTTGCTTTTGCACTCTCCAACCTTAGCGGTCGTGCTAAGAGTTGGGTGTACACTCGGGAAGCGACATCCCCTGGATGTTTCACATCCTGGGCTCAGCTGTGCGAACAGCTCCGAGCCGCGTTCCTCCCGGCGAACTACGAGTACCGCCAGCGTTCGCGCTTCCTCGCGTGTAAACAAGGAAGACGCGAACTGCACGAGTATGTGCAAGAGATACGGGAGCTCACGGCGTCCCTAGTGGGAAACCCACTCAATGAACACATCAAGATGACTGTGTTCATGGACGGCCTTCGAGTGGGCCCCGCACGCACTCAGCTGTTCCGGGTGCAGGCAAACACCCTTGAAGAGGCGATTCAAGTGGCTCTTCAAGAAGAATACAGCCATCGCCAGGCGCGTACGCCGGCCTCAGCGTGGCCTGGGAGTTCCTTGTCGGCTCCCGGTCGAACAAGCCCCAACGGACCAGTTCCCATGGAACTCGGGTCCGCCGAACAGCGTGACATCCGCTGCTTCGGCTGTGGGAAGATGGGCCACTTCAAGCGCGACTGTCCCGCGGAAAGACTCCGCAGACGGTCCTTCCCCAAGCCCGTCCTCAAGGGTCGCTGGCAGAAGCCAGGATCCCGGGGACAGGGGAACGCAGGGAACCAGTAGGGGCGGGGCGCCCTACTGGGGAAGAACTAAGTCTTCGTGATGGGTGCGCGGGTGGCGTGTACCACGGGGACTTAGCCCCTGAGAGTCTTCGCACTCTCGAATCGGCGAAGAGCAGCGGCGGGTTGCTCGTAGTACACGGATGTGTACGGGGGTACGATCACCCCTTTAGAATCTTGATTGACTCTGGGGCGTCGAAGAATTTCGCACGCCGCCAGACGGTTGCTCGTAACAGCAACAAGTTGTCCGAAGCTTTGCGAGAAAGCAAGGGCAACGGGACGGTGTCAGTGCGACTGGCCGACGGGAAGGTCGTCACTGTCCCCAACGTCCAAGTGGATCTGGCTGTCAAGTTTGAAGACTTTGACAGCCTCGAACAGTTCACTGTTCTCGATATGGATCCATATGATATGATCCTGGGCATGCCCTGGCTTGAGAAGCACGAGCCCTGGATCGACTGGCGAGGCAAGGCAATCGGTGCCAGCCGCCCTGCGCAGTCCGACAGAGCATTGGTGAGTCATGTTCCCACCTCTGTCAGGACCCGGGGCGCCCGCGAGGGCTGCCAGGGTACCAAAGCATCCGGCAGATGCTTGGGAGTCGTCGACGTATATGACGACTCCGAGGATGTTTTGATGGTGGCCGCGCCCAGAAGAGGCGCCGGCCAAGTGGGTAACTTAGGTCCACAGGCGGGTAACTTAGTTCCGCAGACAGCTGCAGCTGTCATGAACACTGAGAACAGCGTGTTCAGAGTGGGTAACAGAGTTCCACTCACGGTCGCCCAGACCATAACTGAAGAGGAAGGCGTCGGATACGCTTCCTGTGTGGGTAACACAGTGCGAA